AAATGGGATGGTAACTCTCCGTTAAGGCAGATGGAGCCCCACAACAAGGGCTGACACACTTTAGCTATCAGCTGGTCAGAAGTGAATCACCATCTTTAAATAGATTCACAGTGTTTACCTGGGATAAACTGGGTTATCATGTCAGCACATGCTTGAATGTTGTGCATCAACAACACCCCTCCGAAGCTTGGCTCCATGGTTACCAGTCCTGTACTATTAATGAAACTAACGCATGCTCACATGCAGACACATCAGAGAAAGACAGCCCAATGCTATTTTTAGGTTTGGGAGTTTCACCCACGCCCCAAGAGATATTTTTGGTTTCCAGTTAGATACAATAATGCAGAGTTATGTACAGATACTTAATTGAAGCATTTATATAACATAACATACAAATTCATTTCAATTTAAATGGGATCCAACAAGGATTGCCATAATTTGTTCGTAATTATGATTCTTTAATGTTGTATTTGATGTAGAACAGTGAAGATTAATTTTAACAATGAAGATAGTAAATAAGTAGCACGTCAATAACATAACGAGTTGTATATAAAAAATTCTGTGTTGCGTTCTCATACGTATAAATATTATTTTTGTAACTGTCATGCATTTCACGTCTATTATTTTAGGGTCTTTACCTTACAATATAAAGCGCCTTGAGACAACTGTTGTTGTAATTTGTTGCTATATAAATAAAATTTAACTAAACTGAACTGAACCGATTGTTCATTTTGTTTAAGGTGTGACTTCAAATGCAGGTTAGGTTTGGTTACATATCAGCGATTGGTACAATAAGTAGCACTCTGGAGTTTTGAAGCATATCCAGTAAGGAGTGTTTGCCTGAATCTGGTATTTTAGTATTGTTGCTGTGAACAAGGGCAGTTTTATCATTTTGTTAATCATGAATTAATCATACATTCACAAGACTACTGGAGGAATTCCATATGAGCTGGTTTTCCCTTTGTGAAGCTTGTTTTATTCTTTTGGATTTTTTTGATAACTTAGTTGGACAGTGAAGTTATTTTTGTCATCTATTTGTTCAGCGATGTAGCATAGCAGTACAAACTCAGAGTTTGTTGGTAAATTTGTTAAGTCCACCTTACAATCACGGGTTAATCTCACATGAAGAAGAATACAAACAAAACCAGAAGTTTGGCAGCTGAATTTAAAAAGAAGAAAAAAGAAAGAAAGAAGCTTGAAAAGGACAATGATCTCCTGCAACTCAGTATCCTGGATCGGAGGTGGCATGTGTCAGTGCGAATGTCAGTTACTGTGATTAGCAAATGAGTTCACAGATAGTGCAGGGAGTGTTCATTAAGAGTTACAGTCCTCTGATGACAGAGGCCAGACAAAGATAGCAGCACAAGGAAAGACCTGACAGAGCAATGCCAGGGACTCTCCAGTGCATGTTTGAGAAGCAGCAGACAAAGAGAATGAAGCAGGGGGAGAGGGATACGACTGTCAGTCATCACAGAATATTTTCTTTCATTTCTTAACGGTTCTCTTGCTCTAAACTTCTGTTCTGTCACCGTCACATTCACAAATCTATCCCCATGCATTCCATTTTATATTATCTGCATGCTCCTCTCTGTCTGTGCAGCCTCGAGGGAGTTTCTTTCTCGAAATCCATCCCACATTTCTCTTTCAGAACGAACAGGGTGAAGACGTAACACAAGTGGACTGAAACAGTTTTAGCGGATTTCTTTGTAGTTTGGCTGAAGGACCGACCTCCAGAACTGCCCACATGTCAATTTAACCTAATTCTTTCAATTCAGTTTTATTTATATAGCACCAAATCACAGTAGAAGTCACCTCAAGGTAGGCATGTAGCATGTAGGGAGGCTAAGAATTACTTAAACCAGCAGCTGAGTTCTTTAAATTGTATTTCAAAATTGTTTACTAAACAAGGGAAGAAAAAATACTGCATTTCTCATTGTCTTTCAAATAAATTAAATGAAAGCTGAAGGGCACATTATATTACCAAACCCCAAAGGAAGTCAGCCTTGTGAAGCTTCAGTCTACCGCGGGGGTGAATTCCCGCAAGTTTTATTTATACACTTCTTCCAGTGTTATACTGGGAACAGATAAGTGTGTGACACTCTTACAGAGAAACAGTTAGCTACATGATGTACTAGTACCTGATTCTAACCAGGGGTGGGATAATCAAAGCCATTTCTTTACACACATACAGGTGTTACATTCTGTAATATGCACTATATATGGCTAAAAATATGTCAAATTCAGCAGGTACAAGGTGGTACAAGATATAAAACTAGGGTGGCACTAGGGGTGGCAAGAGAATATTTTAAGGTGGCAAATGCCACCCTATGCCACTGTGGTAGATCCGCCCATGATTCTAGGTGTGCTTTGGAGAACAGTTAGCAGAAGAGCCACAACAAGGCCTGAGAAAAGGACAGATTAGAGCTTACTTCAGCTTACTGAAAAGAGTGTTTTAGCTTTAATTTCAGAGAGTGTTGCATA